ATCTCCTCCTCAGTGGACCATCCTTCTCATTCACTCTTTCTTTGAACCTGGTTTCTCCACATGGGACAAGGCTATGTCGCACACAGTAATCCACACAAACAACCCTGTTGTCGTTCTGTGTCAGCCCATTCTTGTCAGAAGTAACACAAGTGGGAGCATCACCATGCAGATTGTATTTCCTCCCTGTTTAAGAGGCTGAAAGACTGCTGATTCTAAGAGCAGGCTTTAGGGGAAGGTCATCATCTCTTTTCGCCTTCTGTTCCTTGCCTCCTTGTAGATGTCCGCGTGTTCCTGCCTCCTTGTAGATATTCGCGTGTTCCTGCCTCCTTGTAGATGTCCGCGTGTTCCTGCCTCCTTGTAGATATTCACGTGTTCCTGCCTCCTTGTAGATGTTCCCGTGTCCCTGCCTCCTTGTAGATGTTCACATGTTCCTGCCTCCTTGTAGATATTCGCGCGTCCTTGTAGATGTTCGCGTGTTCCTGCCTGCTTGTAGATATTCACGTGTTCCTGCCTCCTTGTAGATGTTCGCGCGTCCCTGCCTCCTTGTAGATGTTCACTTGTTCCTGCCTCCTTGTAGATGTCACGTGTTCTGCCTCCTTGTAGATGTTCACACGTTCCTGCCTCTTTGTAGATGTTCACGTGTTCCTGCCTCCTTGTAGATGTCACGTGTTCCTGCCTCCTTGTAGATGTTCGCGTGGTGTGGAGTGTATCTTCCCCCATTTCTGCTTGCTTAATCTGCTCATTTATATCTCACAAGACATCGATTGGGAACATACCCTATGCTAATACTGACCCATTAACACAACAAAGAAACCCCGCCCCTAAATGGGATTACAGCCCATCTATAACCCCGCTGTTACCATTAAGTCCACTGGGACTCAAAGCCACCCTGTAGGACAGAGTAAAACTGCCCCAACGGTTTCCTTCCCAAGGCGGTAAATCTCTACGTAAGTAGAGAGACGCATCTTTCTCCTTCGTGTGATGTTCCTGTTGGGCTCTTTCACGCGTGATGTTCTAGCTACCGACCTTTTAGTTTATCAGCCGAGCACCTCACCACTGTGCCGTCGGGGATCCTATCACAGGTATCTCAGGGCCATCAAATTGATTCTGACTCAGGCAACCTTATCAGGGTTAGGATTTCCCACCCCTCCTTTTGAGACGCGCAATGGAAGCCTTCGCCATCGATGTGCATGTGTTGGTCCATGGCACGTCCTGGAGAGAAAGCCAAGAAGGGGAGAGCGCTCAACCTTCCGTTTTGTTTATTTCCACAGAGTGAAACCCTCCCTCTTGGAATACTTAAGCTACCTTCTCAATTTCATGAGTGTCATAGCTGGCCCTTGCAACAACTTCAAGGACTACGTCGCCTTCATTGAGGGGAGACATACCCACATGCAGTTGTTGGAGGCGAACTGGAAGCAAAGAGAGGGCCACAGCCTGCCAGATCCTTCTCCCACTGTGAGTTGTCTGTGCCAAGTGTCTGCCCAGAGCTCCAGAGAGCGGGTTGTGTTTCCCATTGTATTATGCTTTCGCTGAAAGTTTACACCACAGATTAGTTTTTGATTCAATCAGTCATGCATGCATAGCTCCTGGACATTGGTTGCAATTCCCATAATACGTCAGTGCTCTCTCCCCATTTCCACCCTGGGTTCCTTATGTCCATTCATTTCATCCATTCATTTCACTTCACTGCCCTTTCAGCCTCCTATAGCTGATTGTTCCAAGGAGCACATTGCTCCTGGGTGCTAATCTTTTGTGTGTGTTTTTTTTAATTGGACAAATCTATGATTTGGTTGAGAGGTGGCTGCCAGGAGTGGCTTCAATTCCAAGTTGGAAAGGCATGACTTGGGACAATGGTCTTGGAGAGTCCTCCGGTACCCATTAGATACTGGCCATTTTTACAAATTCGAGTTTTGTTGTTCATTGTTATCTCGTGCTAACTTGTATGTTCTAGTGTGTCCCTAGTGAGAGCGGTCAGTGGTGGTAGCCTGGCACCATCCAGTTCTGGTGCTGGACCAGAGGCTGCTGTGGTTCGTGTGGCCTATTCATTCACACTCTGGCCTGCTTGCTTCCTGGAGGGTTCGGTTTGCCTCATTCTTTACTCCAGGTGGGAAGAGAACAGTATGTAGTTCTGTTCCAGATGACTGCTCGCAAGCCCTGACGAGACCCCAGTGACCAATTCACCCAACTAGGATGAT